AAAGAATGGCATAATGCTTGAGAGCTTCAGAAAACTGTAGGGGTCTTTGAGGCTATTGAATTCGCATCCTTAAATGCAAATTAAACCAATTTTAAATCTCTGGTAATTTTTTCTAGCCTTCATTAGGATTAAGCTGGTGATTCTACAGTGATTCTCTAGTCGGTATTTCTAAGGGTCATTCCCATACCCAGCCTAGTGGACAGTACTGACTGCCCTTGCAGCAGGAGAGATGCAGGATGACAGATTGTACAGCAGTTCTTTCACTGATCAGCAAAAACGTAACGCTACCGCTCTAGGATGTGCTGCTTTCGTTCGGAAGTGGTGCTTGCCAGCTGCACGCTAACTGTCCGTTGGGAAAGGGATTGAGGACTTCGGATAGACTGCGTTTACCCAAGGGAGTGATTCCTGTAATCAGACAGGAGACAGAATGCACACAGAGCAGGGTGTTTCCTTCTGCTCTAAAGAGCATTGAGAGCAGACCATTGCAGATCAAAAAAAAACAATCGAGAGGAGAGGGGACGGGCACAACGGATGCGTTTTGAGGACTTCTCTCGATTTAATGTATTTTCTTCTTGGTGAAATAGTAATTAGTGATTTAGTATCTACCTGAGAAGAAGACCGAATCGGAGATTTTTCATATGCCAGATTACAACTTGGAAGCCTGTTCCTTGAATTCTGGCGCCCAGTTCTGTAATGCAAACATTGTCATTGCTTATTCTTACGTTTCCGCGCGGTGAGGTAATCCACGTGTATTGAGGCGGACTAGAAAAAGTGGGATGACCCTCCCCACGTGTACACACAGTTGTTGTCTTTGAGGCAGTGTATTTAACTGGAGCTTGGAGGCTTCTTACCCCACACCTCTGGCATTAATCCCAATCGTATGAGGAGCCGTGAAACGCTAACATGCCTTGTCCTTCAAAACCAGACTTTCATGCGGGAGAGAGTGAGTACTTCCTGGGCAGGCAGCACATCTTGGGTTGGTCTCTGTTCTGTGGTGTCACGTTATCAGAGTAATTATGAGCTGTATGGTCCCCTTGCGTTTCAGAGCCAGGAGAACTCCCACAGATGCAATGTGGTCAGCTTGAGCGCGTGCGTGCGTGCGTGCGTGCGTGGCACTGCTAAAGGTCTAATGGATTTTTTTTGCTTCTTCCTGCTGCCCCCCCCCAACACTTGAGCAGACTAAATTTTCAAAGTAACACCAACTTAGTGTGGTAGGTCTGAGCTGACAGCTGGTGATAGCATGTACCATGAATTTCCATATTGGAGACTAGGGATTAGTTTTCGGAGCAAGAATCGGTTTGCTTTGGAGTCGTGTCATAGTTGCCTTTTTTGCCCTGACGGGGAATGGAGTAGCGTGCAGCCCTTATCTGGAAGGAGTACTGTAGGTGAAGGGGCTTGGATGAGCGAGCTCTGCATCCAAAAGCTTGTGTCTGTGCATCTCTTCAGAAGCAGACAGCCGCTGCTGGAAATTCCCAGTCTGTTTAAATGCTCATTTCTCTTTCACGTGGACACACGCACAAGATCAGACTCCTTATATTAACTTTCAAATGAATGTATGGCCTCTCTCCAGCAGTTTGACAGTCACTTAAATGTTTGGGGGTATTTGGGGATTACCAGGAATTGTAAAAACAGTCCCTCTGATTATTGACATTCAGGATGCCTTCAGCAGCCTGACTTGCATCCTAAAGTATATTAAGATGCTAGATTGCTTCCCCCACCTTTTTCTCCAAAGTAAAAATGGCTTATTTTGATGTGCCCCCAAATTCCCTGGAATTGGGCTGTTTGCAGGGACGTGGGACAACTAGTGCACTGCTCTGGTGCAGGGAAAACTGGCACCAAAATAATAGCGTGGGTGCTAAAGCCCCATATAAAATAACGCGGCGCTAAGTCCCGCCCGTGTGCCGATGTGCAGCCAGGCACAGCACCCCTGACACTCCTGGGGGGAGTGCCCTCGTGCCAAACACTTTGTGCCCAGGAACAAGAATCCTGGTCGGAAGTAACCTTCAGGGTGTCACAACCCAAGGGTGTGATTTTGTGTGTGTGCTTCGGCACTGCTAAATTATTTCCCGCCACTCGGAGCTTTCTTTGCAGGGTGCATTTCTTAGTTGCAAAGAGAAAACCCCGGTGCAAAGGAGTTCCCGCCATTCGCATGCAAATTTGTGTCCCACTATTGGCCAGTTCTAAATTATTCCCACGTGGCGGCTAGCGATTGGCTTGCTAGCCGTATAAGAGGCTTGAGTGGTTTCCGCCCAAGGTGGAGGAGGAGGAGGACTTCACGTCTTGTGAAGACCTCTAAGCGCTGCGGAGCCTATCGGACCCAGCGTGTACCTTGAGAAGGCTACAGGGGTCTGATCAACCTCTGGCCTCTCCCCGTCGCCGAGCGATCCCTCGCCGAACCCCTTCCCTGCGCGCAAGTTCCACGGAGCCTGGCAAACTCCGTGCGAGTGTATCCAGAGCTCTTCTCCGAGTTGTTTTCTTCGGTTGACACGACGGGCTCGCGGTTTTAGAGCCTTCAGCCGGATTGGGCTAGAGTTTGCGAGTTTAGAGCTCTTGTCCGCTCTTCTTTCCTGTCTGTAACCGCAACTCAAGCAAGTTTTCCTGCCTGCACCGCGACCATCTCCGGTGTAAGTAAAATAATCTTTAATCAACCGCTACGCGTCCGTGCCTAATTCTAGCCCGCCTACCTGCATTCCCCGACCCGCGTGCCAGGGCTGCTGGCCACAGGCCCCCGAGGGCCTCGGACCGCTCCCGGCCCGCGCGCAGGGAACACTGGTTC